TGAGCTTGATACGTCCACGTTGAAATTCAGCAAACCAACGATAAATTGTGGTTTTGGATTGGGCTTCATCACCAAATGCAGAAATCATCCGGTCAACACACTGTTTTTGTTTTAAACTACTTCGAAAGTCATAATAAATCATCGCTCTTGAATTTTCTCGAGTCAATTCCATTCTCTCAACAACTAAACAAGTTTGATAAAACCTTGTGGCAAGACCGAGATTCTTTTTTTAAATAAATAAATGGTATTCGATTTTTAAAATCAAGGGGTTTTCAATTAAAAGGATTTTAATATGACAGGAACAGTGGAAATATTCTATTCCCGATACTTTTAGTGCAGCCCTCGTAACACCACGATCACTCACAGAACAAATAAAAATTTTGTAAAAATTTACTTACTAAAAATAACTACTATTACACTCTAAAAAATTACAAAATATCTAGGAGCTTATTTCATGCGTGCTGACTTGTGCCGACCTGTCATTCAAAATCGGTTACAGAGTCATGAGATTTGGTATCCTTTTCTATCTTGCGTTTTTGCCATAAGGAATTTTCTTCTCGCTTGCACACTATGTCGGTCTATACGCCAGGATATTCTTAGTCTATGGTAAAATTAAGGATTTTACTAAGGTCTTACAAAGATTTAATTTGGTTTGTAAAATAAATAGATTAATTAATTAACTTTAATTGAAGCTTTATCTGATATCTTACAACAAAAATGTAGTCGAATAATGCGGAATTTCGTTTTATCGTGGTAAGCTAAAATATATCTTTGAAAAGGTCATTATGAAATCTACTTAAATTCAGCAAATATGTATATGTTGTTAATGCTAGTCTTAATATGGTTTTCACGTTTTATATTAACTGTTAACATGTAACCAACACCCCATTGAAAATTTTATTTATTTATGTTTGTCCTGACATAGGGTTTGCATCACGGTACGTAAACAGAGGGCACCGGTTCGATAATTTAAATACCGCACCTTGAGCGCAGTTGGTCTTCTTTTTTCGCGCTCCACCATAACAAAAATATATAATAAAAATAAATATTATTATGTTATTACATGTATTTGATATATATGACGAAATGTCGATTTTTTGCTAAGATTGAGAACAAAATCAATATAGAAGATACGAGTGTACTTGCTCTCATATTTGGTATAAGTAGTATAAAGAGACGAATTATGACCACTTGTAATTTAAGCTCTACGCATGAATTACACACAAAATCTTTCATTATGTATGTCTCTTTTTGTCTTATTTGATAATTAAATTAGAAAAAGAATTGTAGATTCCCTCAATGCAAGCGTATGTATGTAATTACTCTGAGGTCCAGACGTCCTGACATCAGTATGATTCATAACTTTCTTTGCGATTTTTCTCTGTACTTAATAAGGTATCAAATATTTAACATTAAATACCAAAAAGTACCAAATAGGAAAAAAAATATAGCTTAGACATCCACTTTCTCTTATAGTCCAGAGCTTTTGACGCTCACGTCGTGTTGAATATACGCCGTACGATGCACCGTAAAGTACGTCGATCGCGGACTGAGTTGATTTGAGTTAAAAACTGGTCTCATTTTCGATTAAATTCGAGTTACTCGAGCGAAATAACTCTACTCGCACATTGTTAATTACCCGTATAAGATACTAATTAAGTCTATAATACAAAACTTACCACCAATCCACAGATATTTATCTTAGAGTAATTACATACATACGTAGGTCACTAAATAAGTTTTGAGATGCTCTAAATTTAAAAATGGAACGCACCCGTGTTATATGTTTCTAAAAAGCAACTCTAGTCATTTGCTCAATATTAAAAAAAATAAACAAAGTTCTATTAATTTTCCTGCAAATCTTCCCGCGCTTTTCCAATAAAACGATGGATCTTAACCGTGAACATTTGCGCGCTAGGATATATTATGGTTTTAAATTTGGTTTAACCGCACCGAATTAAGTTTACAACGGTGTAACCGTTGTAAACTTAATTCGGTGCATCGGCATTAGGGGCCTCAGCTCCATCACGCGCAACATTTTTTAGGTGGTTTTCTGAATTCAAAAGGGGTAAAATTAAGGTACAATTCCATTGCCGACCACAGACAGCAGCAGTAGGCGACGTGTCATTGCGACACTACTGGTTTCTATGTAGTTCTATGAAATGCCTTCCGTAGCTAGCGACACGTCGTTTGTCGGAGCGGCAGACGACATGTCGATCAGTAGTACTGCCAACGCCCGAGCGACACGTTGAATTTTGCTTAAAAAATTAGTTTCACCGATTCCGTGTAAAAGAAACTGATAAACCAGGTGGCCCAATATTCCACACTGTACGATGCATTTCACAATAATTATTTAAACAGTGTAACAAAAGATAATATTTGAAAAAATTGAGGAAAGGATTTAAATAAAACGGTAAATAGGTATATATATATATATATATATAACCTATTTTGTTTACATACATAGAGTACCCACAGAACATTCGGAACAGATTGGAACACGGGCTGCTGCCGCCTGCAGTCGGGTTCGGAATAATCATGACTGCAGCGACACGACGCGACGACATGTCGCAGCGACATGTCGCGACGACACGTGCGACGACGCCTGCTGTTGCTGTCTGCGGTCGGCTACGGAATTATACCTTTATTCTTAAAGATTACCAAACCGGGGCCTCGCAAGCAGCAGTAACGGCAGAAAATGTATAGACTACTGAAATGTTGGTGCGAGAAGACCCGCGAATCACATATATACGGACATCAAAAAGATTGTAGGCATTAGCTCGGGGAGCATTCATACCATTATACATCGACATCTTGGAATGAGGAAGCTTGGTTGGTTGACAAAACTACAAAGACCTCGCAAATTCGGCAAAAAAAATGTGGCTATTTTTTTTCATTTGTCGGCATTTGTCGATGTCAATACTAGAAAATTGTAGGTCAGTCAACTCTGAATGGTATACTACAGTTGCATTACCCAAAGCTTTTCAAGCTGTGCGGGAGAGAAGACCAAAGACCGGACTTCGGGGAATCATGCTGCATCACGATAAGGCCTCTTCACATACCTCCCTTATAACAAAAGCATCTAGTGAGGAATCTGGTGTTGAAACTCTAAGTCACCCACCCTACAGCCCTGACTTAGCTCCTTGTGAATTCTTTTTGTTCACAAGAGTCAAAGACAAAATAAAAGACGTTTATTTCAAGCGCCGAAGAAGCCGTGGCTGCCTACGAAGAAGCGATTTCCGACATGTCAGATCAAGACTGGCAAAAGTGTTTACAGAATTGGTTTAGGCGAATGGAATTTTGTATAGAGCGTGATGGAGAATATTTTGCAAACATGTAAAATAAATATTAATAGTATCTAGAATACTGTTTGTATATCTTAAAACTTATTGAGTGTCCTACGTACATACATATACATAGAGAACCTGCAATTTTACATAAATTGAGTCAATATTCTTGTCTCGCTTTACCTAATTTAATTTTCAAATAAGGCAAAAAGAGACCAATCTATTGAAAGATGTTCCTTGTAATTCATGCGTGGAAATGAAAATGTCAAGTGGTCATTTTTGGTCTCTTTATATTATGCCAAATATGAGAGTAAGTACACTCGTATCTTCTGATTTACTAGAAAAATTATATCCACAGACTAACTAGTAGATTACACCACTACGAGTATTGTAGTAGTATTATAATATGTGAATGTCACGTTTCTTTACAAGACACGTCTTTAGTATATAGTGATTAGTGATTTCGTTCGCAAAATTAGCAACCTTCGTCATCGATATACTCGTTTTTGTTTAGTTATTTATTTTTATTACCTTATTATAAGTCTAAAAATATAAAGAAAATAGGAACAGAGTTATTATTATTCGAACGATCAAGTAAGTTGTTTTCTAAAGCAATTGATGATTATTATATTACATAGCAAAATTTTCGTTTCGCAAACTTTAAAAACTAAAGTAAGGGAGGTATGAATTCTAAGTCTTGACAGACACACGGTATATAAGCGAGTTGGATCACATTAATTTGTAAAGCCAATTTTATATGCTGACTAACGATCAGCCCTGGCTTCGCACGACTGTTTTATAGATCTCAACAATAGCGCAACTTACCGGGTCAAATTGTGAGTGTGAGTAGTTATCCAGCAGTTCTCAAGTGATGATCTTTTATACATGTGGCAATTGATTTTATTTTTATAGATTTAATTAAATATTACGAATCGGACTAATAAAAATTCCTAATTTTAATAAGTCATAGACTAAATGAATTTATCGACAACGTTTTTTGTTTCGCTAATGGCACATCACATCAATAGAGGAGTCTATGGAATGGAAAAACGGCAACAACCTTGTAAAAGAAAAAGGTTAAAAAGCATCATATTAATCTGAATACAACTTTAGATAATGCCCTTAAGGTTGAATTTACAATAATAATATATATATTATTATAAATTCAACCTTAACTTGTTTCAACTGGTCAAAACCATAGATAAGAGTGTATATACGGAAAAATTAGCGACAGTTTTTACTTTTTAGAGAACTTTTGCATGGGATTGTGTATTTAGTTTTTTTGTTAGTGATCGATGTATATAGCTCTTATTTTGTACCATGTTAAACGTCATATTATGTATAAGGATTTCAGCTATAACAATTTTATTCTCATTTTAGGACTCTATTAGTTAGCTATTTAATATTCTGTGCCCCAGACCCACAGAGTACCCACCTCTTTTATAGACAAGCTTAATAAATAGCAATAAATATCTTTACTCTTTAGCATAATCACAGAGTACTTTAGCATAATTAAAGATGGGTAAATATTTACGATTTAATTGTTTTTTTTTTTTAAGTAAACTATAGGAAACAACGTTTATAGGCAGAAGATTAGATAAGATTTGATTTTACTCTACTAAGTTGTAAGAGGAATAGATAGAATTGGAAATTCTCGATAGAGAGTAAATTATAATTTCTCTGATTATAATAAATAATATTTTTAATCCTGCCATGTCGGAATTTGGAAAATTTGGGCCATTAGTTGGAGCAATTGACGAAGGCACTTCTAGTGCCCGATTCATAATATTTAAAGCAAATTCATCAGAAGTGGTCGCTGTGCACCAAAAGGAACTAGAACAACATTTTCCTCAAGAAGGATGGGTTGAACAAGATCCACTAGAAATACTCAATGTTGTTACAACCTGCATTGAAAAAGCAGTGGAGCAATTAATTTCCCTCGGTGGAAGTCCTAAGGTTTGTCTATTTGTTCTCACTGGTGTTATTCATTATGTAACGGCATCAATAATTTATTTAATAATTATTAAAACCTAGCATAATACAACCTTAGTAATTTTTAGGTTTAATTCAAGACTGTTAAAACCAAGGGTAGTAGTGTTGTTGACAGAAGTACATTAGAATAATGATGTTAATGAATATGTTACTGTACATATTTATTCTTTGTCATATCGTTTTTCTATTTTTGTTAAACCTACCAGCTCAGTAGACACTTCTCTCGGGAATAAAATGTTTTAAGGATATTAGTAGTACACTAACATGTACTGAAGCAGCTTGGTGGGTAATTGCTTAGCAACCCCCTTGAAAAGGAGAACACTAACACTAGCACTAAACATCTGTTGCTTGCGCAACACCTTTATTGTACTTTTTTAACACAAAACACTTTTTTTAATTTATTAGTACCATTTCATTGACAGCACTTCCTTCCTTGTAAAAGGATTAAGGCTTAGCTATTATTAGTGAATATTAGTGATTTTGGTATTTTAATATAGAATTTATAAATAACTTAATTAGGTAATTATAAATATACATATATATATACACATACACACACACAAAATCCCATCATAGCTATGAATGTGTAAAATAATGACCTCAAACAGTCAGAATGTTCACAAATTACACAATCACTAACAGACACATGTACCGACAATTAAATATACCTATAGGATAAATATATAAAAAAAAGTATATAAAAATAAATAATACAAAAGGGGCCTAGTGATAATGGGGCTCACCTGATGGTGTTGCCGGCCTTTAAAAAAGAAGTAAGCTTATTTCTTGAAGGTTTCTAAGTTGTAACAGTCTATAAAATGGCCTTTAGAAGATGATTTCACAAAATGGTAAGGAAGAAGAAGAAGATAACTTCTAGTAAATAAATAATTAAAAAAAAAACATGCGTGAGTATCATCAAACACTCAATTGGAACGAAGTTCCTTTTGTAGTATATTATTATGGATGAATGTATTATTTTATTGAGGAGAGGGGGTAAAAGACTATGGGGCTCACCTGATGGTAAGTGACTACCGCCGCCCATGAATAACCGCAACACCAGAGGAATTGCAGATGTGTTGCTGGCCTTTTAAAAAGGATTAGGCTCTTTTCTTGAAGGTCCCTAAGTTGTATCGGTCCAGAAAAATCGCTGGTGGTAATCAATTCCACAAGAGAGTTGTGCGAGGAAGACAACATCTTCTAAATCGCACAGTGGTGGACCGCCAATCATCCAGGTGGTATGAATGGTATCGTAAGTTTTGTCTCGATGTGTGACGAATGACCAAATTGAGCAGATGGAATTTGTCCGAACAATTTCTCAGAGCACTTCCCGTAGTAAATGCGATAAAATGCGCAAAGAGATGCAACATCTCTACGCAGTGCCAGTGTATCGAGCCATTCAGAAATAACTCATTTGTCGACGATTCGAACCGCTCTGCGCTGTGTGTGGTCAAGTGGAAGGAGCTGGCACTGGAGTGCCCCTGCCCAGAGATGAGAACAGTATTCCATGTGAGGCCGGATTTGCGCTTTGTAAAGTTGCAACCGATGTGCCGGCATGAAGTACTGTCTCGCTCTGCTGAGCATGCCAAGCTTTTTAGAGGCCAGTTTGGCTTTCCCTTCAAGTGACCACGAAACTGCACACTATTTGATATGTCGACACCGAGGATACCGATACTGGCTGAGGCAACAAGGGTAGTGCCTTGAAACTGAGGAGATACGACAAAGGGGGTGCTTTTTAGCGGTAAACGCGCAAACTTGTGTCTTCTGGGGATTGAACTGGACTAGATTTAGTCCCCCCAATCCGAGACTTTGTTCAGCAAAGACCCAACTTAAGACACAAGTTTACACACGACACACGAAAAATATTGGCACGGCCAGTATATAAGGTATCACCAGTGCTGTCGTCTACATAGCAATGAATGTTACTAGTTTGCAACATATCATTGATATGCAGGAGAAACAGCGTTGGTGATAGCACACAGCCTTGTGGAACACCAGCGTTGATAGGCTTGAAATCAGAGCACGCACCGTCTACTACGACCTTGATGCTCCGATCAGCAAGGAAACTGGTGATCCATTTGCACAATTTCTCGGGAAGCCCATAGGAAGGAAGCTTCGAAAGAAGTGCTTTGTGCCAGACCCGATCGAAGGCCTTCGCTATGTCCAAACTAACAGCCAATGCCTCCCCCTTGGATTCTACTGCCTCCGCCCCCTATGAGTCAGGTAGGTAGTATCTAGGTACTACATGGGGATTATATACATTAATATAGGTAATTTGTTGCAGGATATAATAGCAGTAGGTGTAACAAATCAAAGAGAAACAACAATTGTCTGGGACAAAAGTACTGGCAAGCCTCTCCATAATGCCATAGTTTGGCTGGATATGAGAACAACTAGTACAATAGATAAGTTGTTAGACACTGTGCCCAACAAAACAAGAAATACAAACTATCTAAAGGTAAGGTTATGTTTCTGCATTTGTTTTAAATACATACATAAGTATAATTATCATAGGTGTGCATGGTATAGGTTGGTGTGCAGACCTTGACAAAAGGCATATACAATAATTTTATATGTACTTAATTTCTATAAAATCTGCAATACGCCAGTTGCTTATATATTTATGACATCACTGTAACACTGTAGGCCATGAGATTCTGAGATCTATAAAGAAAGTGTCGTATTCAAAGATTTATTGTTATTCTATTTGGGGGTACTTGTTGACTTTGTTAATTAATAAAGTAAATTGAATGTAGGTAATTTAATATTGAATAATGACACTTGTCTTTTGGAATGCTACCAAGCTTAATACATAAGAATATTCAACCAATATGTTTTATTCTATATTCTGAAGATATTAGTGGCGACGAGTGGTAAAAATTGTTAAAAATGGATATAAAATCATTGAAATTCGATGATAACAATCCTCAAACAGATAGTTAGGACAATTATCTAGAGTCTAGATAATTGTCCCAACTATCTGTTTGAGGATTATTATATTAGAACATTATATTAGAACAGTAGTTCTATACCGTTTAAAATTTTGTTTCGAGGCTAACGGCGTCATAGATTCTGCTAAAAGAGCAAATTTTTTCACAGTGTGTGGTTCACGAGTTTACGAAACACGGTTCATGTATCATTCAGTGAAATAGAAATAATTTTAACAAATCATTACAGCCTAACAAATCATTAATACCTTACGAAATTTCTGTGTCTTATAAATTTTATGACTCTGATTTGATGTCAGAACTAGCATTACCATATAGTTCAGTGAGTGGTACAAGTGAACCAATGGATAGCAAATGTCTGCTTTTGTTATTGTTGAGGTGACCGCCATTTAGGAGAATGTCGTTTTGTAAATACCGTGTGTCAGTATTGCAAGAAAAACAGAAATTTGGAGAAAATTTGCATAAGTAAGAAGAAGAAAATAAAGTTTATATCAGAATCAGATGATCATTTAAATGGAGTTTATTGAGTTCATACTAATAGCCATGTTCCACCATACGAAGTGGAGTTGTCACTTGCAGGCGTACCAATCAATATGCAAGTACACAGGAGCTAGTTTTTCTCTAATTAACGAGCAGACATGGCACATACTACACTCTCAATTATTGGATGCTGCATTGCAACCTATTTCAATAGGTATCGTTGTGGACCTGGACTGAAACACCGGACAAACTTTTTGGGCAAATTATCTATCGAATAATCTTTGTGTTATTGTAGCAAAGGGTAATAGGCCCAACCTTCTGGGTCGAGACTGGCTGAACACTCTTAACATTACAATGAATGTCAATTATGTTTCTAGTGCTGAGTTATTGGAAATGGATAGTATATTATTGAAACATAAAGAGGTATTCAAAGACGCACTCGGTACCTACCGTTTAATGTGTATTGTAACTGGACATCCAGTAACAATACAAATTAAATCAGGAGTTATCTCAAAATTTGTAAAAGCGCGACCTGTACCATTTGCTATATAGCAAAGAGTAGAGATGTAAATAGATCATCGGGAAAGGGAAGAAGTTCTACGTTCAACGACTTTTTCAGAGTGGGCCACACCAGTTGTGCCAATCATAAAAAAATCTGGTGAGATTCGTTTATGTGGAGGTTACTGCAGTACAGTTAATGAAGCAACAGAGTCGGATATTTATCTCATGCCCACGGCAAATGAAGTCTTAACTACCATACCTGGAGGAAAATTTTTACAGCTTGTAGATCTAGATAGAGCCTACACACAGGTAGTGGTGGATGATAATATGTCAAAGCTTCTAACATAAAACACAGCAATTGCAATTAAATAAAACTAATTTTACGGATTTTATCGCGTATATTAACTTATTTTACATTCCTGACGTTTCAAGCAAGCATGGGTGCTGTACCCATGGTCACGGGGGGGGGGACTGAGGTGTATGATGTCTCAATGTCATAGCTAACCACGGCTATCTCCAGATTAAAAATTATTAATTTTTGTTCCGATCTACGCAGTATGAACTTACAGTATCATGAAGTCTTGCAGTTGTATGCTTGGGTTGGGATTTAATTTTATTAAGTATGGGATCCCAAGCAGATGGTAGCAACCAGCCATCTTCTCTATTGAAATTAGGATGTTTTTTAATTTCAATAGTCTCACGAATCATCCTTGGAAGGAATTGGTGTTCTTTAGCGAGGATTTGTGGTCTATCAAATCAATGTAGTGACGAGGTCGATTCTGTACATGTTCACAGACTGCAGACTTCCCAGAGCGTCTATTTTTCACATCAGCTATGTGTTCTTTAACATGGGTTTTTATGGATCTTTTAGTTTGTCCTATATAAGAGAGACCACATTCACAATCCAGCTTGTACACTCCTGCATCTTGCAAAGGAATTGCTTGCACACTTGACTGATGGTAAAAACTGACTAATCTTCTTCGGCGGCTTGAAATATGTTTTAATGGAAGCACGCTTCAAGATGTAGCCAATCTTGTCAGTGACACCTCTGACATATGGCAGTACAGCAGGCACTCGCTCGACTGTGGCCGGCTTCACTCGTTCACTGTGACGTAGGCGCGGGACCCGAAGATTATTGTCGTGCAAAACTTGCTTGACGTGTTGGAGCTCGGCGGCCAGGTGTTTACTGCCACAGATCCCTCGTGCTCTCTGAAACAAAGATTTACCCACGGTAGCTAACTGTGAAGGATGGTGGTGAGAATCACTTTAAATATCTATCTGTATGGGTCTTTTTTCTATACACAGTGTGGCTCAAGGTGTTATCAGGATTCTGAATTACTAACACATCTAGAAAAGCTAAAGAACTCCATTGTAAACTGAATTTTAGAATTTAAGGAGTTAAGATGGTCTAAAAATGCAGTTACTTTATCTAAAGGTAGAATTGTGAAAGTGTCGTCTACGTACTGCTTGTAGAATCTTGGGTTTACGGGAGAAGTAAGCAGGGCTTTCTCCTCAAAGTCCTCCATGAATATATCGGCAACAATGGGAGATACAGGTGAGCCCATCGCCACTCCATCTACTTGCTTGTAGAACTCCTCCTTCCACAATAGGTAGCCAGATGTAAGGCAGTGTCTGAGTAATACTGCATATTCTACGGGCATGTTGTTTTCCTCTAGCCTTCTAGTAACAATCGAGATGCAGTCTTCAACAGGTAGGCATGTTAACAGAGACTGCACATCAAAACTGACCATAGTTTCATTGTCTGCCAGATGTAGGTCTTTAATCTCGCTGACAAAATGGTAGGAATCCTTTGTGTGTGCTCCCATAATTAATAAAATTAAATCCCAACCCAAGCATACAACTGCAAGACTTCATGATAATGTAAGTTCATACTGCGTAGATCGGAACAAAAATTAATAATTTTTAATCTGGAGGTAGCCTTGGTTAACTATGACATTGGGACATCATACACCTCAGTCCCCCCCATGACCATGGGTGCTGTAAAGTGCTTGAAACGTCGGGAATGTAAAATAAGTTAATATACGCGATAAAATCCGTAAAATTAGTTTTATTTAAATGTGTAGTGTTCGCGTAAATATAAGAAATCATTACAGCAAGTGCAACGTATATAAATACAGTGCATAGGTTGGCTTTCGGAGTAAAAGCATATCCAGGAATTTTCCAGCGCTTAATGACTTCTTTACTGGCTGGCATTCCGGGAGTGGCAGTTTTGATAGATGACATAATCATATGTGGCCTTACTATGTTAGAAATGCAAAAAAGATTAGATGTAGTACTAGGTCGAATTTAACAGGCAGGATTACGCCTAAACAAAATGAAATGTCAATTTGCTAAGGAAAAAGTCGAATTTTTAGTCTATGTTATAGATTTTGAGGGAATACATCCTGCACCAAGTAAAGTCGAATCTATAGTAAATACTCCAGCACCCAAAAATAAACGAGAACTGCAAGCATTTCTCAGGTTGTACAATTTTTATGAAAGTTTCATATCTCATAAAGCGACAATAGTTGAACCATTGCATCGATTATTGGACACTTCACAGACATGGACACGGTCTGAATGTGAGCAAAGTTCATTTGATGTGGCTAAAAGCTTACTCACATTTGATTTTACTCTAGTTCATTATGATGTAAATAAGCCAGTATTGCCACATGAAATGGAGGATGGTCAAGAACAACGAAAAAAGGTATCGAGAACCCTTCATGCACATGAACGACGTTATTCTCAGTTAGATAAAAAAGCCACATCAATTATGTTTGGCATTAAAAAATTTCACAATTACCTCATGGTTCGAAATTTTCGGATAATTACTCACCATAAACCATTACATGGTATATTTAACCCTAATAAACCAATGTCAAATATGTTGTCTCCTCGATTATCCAGGATTGCGATTGCTTTAATGTGTCATGATTACGAGATTGTATATAAACCAGGATCACAAATAGGTAATACAGACAGTCTAAATTGATGGCCACATCCGGTCAATGAACAACCAGAACAACAGTTGTCCAAGGTTTTGTTGAAGGATGACACTCCGGAGGATTTTCCATTTAATGCTAAAGACATAGCTACAGAAACGAAACGCGATAAAACTTTATCTCAAGTTATTTATTATGTTCAGCGTGGTAGGCCTGCTAGAATAACAGACACAGATTTACGCCCATATTGACTACATCGTGCAGAGTTATCACTACAAGAGGACTGTATATTATTGGACTGCCGTGTATTAGTACCAAAATTAATGCGCCATAAAACTTTAGAAATTTTGCATAAAACACACACAGGGATAGTGTAAACAAAAGCACTTGCAAGGAGCTATGTGTGGTGGCCAAATCTTAATGAAGATATAGAGACGTGAGAGGCTGTCCGAAATGTTTGGTGAATCGCCACATGCCTCAAAAATCTAGTCATGAATGGATTACACCCACTAAACCATGGTCAAGGATTCATATTGATTTTGCTGGACCATATCATAAAAATATTTTTTAATCATAGTGTATGCATACTCACGCTGGTCAGAATTATTTATTGTAAATAACACAACCTCATCGACAGTTATAAGACTTAAGAACAACATTTGCAACACATGGCTTATGTGAAGTGGTGGTTTCTGATAATGGACCATCATTTGTCTCTAAAGAAAGGAATGAATTCCCAAAAGCTAATAACATACGTCATATAACTACAGCACCATACCACCCATCTACAAACGGGTTGGCAGAGAGAATGGTATAGACAATTAAGGACAACATGTGCAAAATGGAGGATCTAGCATGGGACACTAAAATACCAAATTTGTTGCTTGGTCTTAGAGTTACACCATGTACCGCAAGCAATAAGAGCCCATCTGAACTACTAATGAAGAGATGTTTACATACACTTTTAGATACTATACATCCAGATTCAGCGAAAACTGAAAAAATTGAAACACAAATTATCAATAACAACCAGAGGAAATACAGGGCAACTAATGTAGGTCAGGACATTATGTACCGCAATTACAGTAGTGCTGGCCCAAGATGGCTTCCAGGAAAAGTAATTAACAAAAAAGGGCCGTCAAGTTATGAGATCAGAACCAATAATGATACAATAATCAATTGACATATCGATTAGTTAATTAAAAAAGGGCCTAATATTAATTGTGAGGATTCTGAAATGCAGTAAGAAGAAAGAATGATTAGAGCCGCTGAATCAGTAGAGGGTGTATGTCCTGAGAGTTCAGATAGTGTCAACAATGAAGAAAATCAAGAAAGTAGTCAAGACTCTGATATAATAATTGAGATTCTAGTCTCTAATAAATGGGCAGAGGTGTTAGGAATACCATCCACAGCAGAGACAACACTTTCCACAAGTAGAAAGATAAAACATAAGTCAAGTTTACATTCTAAAATACCATATGAAAGATCAAATGCTAATAAAGAAAATCTTTATTTATCTTAAGCTTGTGTATGTGTATAATGTGTATTAATTAGTATCTTATATTAGACATGATTGATTTCAAGTGTTAAGTATCTTGTTTAAATAATTATATTGTTACTTACTAATGGGGAAGGTATGTCATATTCAAAAATTTATTGTTATTCTATTTGGGGGTATTTGTTTACTTTGTTAATTAATAAAGTAATTTGAATGTAGGTAATTTAATATTGACTAATGACACTTGCCTTTTGGAATGCTACCAAGCTTAATAGATAAAAATATTCAACCAATGTAACACATTTTAGCAATTTGCTTACAATAATAACATATTATACATCTGATGAATGGTTACTAAAAAGTTACCCAACTGAACATAGTCTTGGTACTGACAAAGTACTATGACGCTGATCTTCCGTGGATGCCAATAAAATTATTTCATAACAATATTCATTATTATACAATTTTAATTCAATATCCACACGTGTATTTAAACCATACACACATATTATACACTATCACATACATATTTTTAATAAATTAATATAATAAAAGTAGCAATTACTTAAATAAAATTAAAAGAAACAAATAAACAATAGAAAAGTATATAAGATACAGTATATAATTCCAATAAGCTGACTTTTGAATACTTAGTAAGTATTTTTTTGTAATTATATTTAAACAAACCAATTGAAGATCTATGATTTCACGGACATGATATAAAAATTTATAATATTATTTTTATGATTTTTGTTTCAGTACAGGCCTAGTATTTTTTCATACGTGGTAGAGCCATGCTGCAGCTATATTTCTGGTATAGTTGTAACACGAATGGGTCGGCTCGACCGGGGTAGGACCACGCTCTCACAGAATACCAGCGTAAAATAGCAGCTTAATGCTGCTGTGTTTCGTATGGTGAGTGTAGAGAACCGGATACCCTTTTTACTGGAAACGAGGCATTCCATCTTAGTCCTCAACAGGCTGACAACGCATCTGCATTTTGATTTGTAATCGAGGATAAATGTAGATGTCTATGGGCCACAGCAACTACTTACCATCAGGTGGACTGTGTGCTCGTTTGTCACCCTTATCCTATAAAAAAAAAGTATTTTACAGGATAAGTTTTGGAGTGGGCACAGTAATGACACTGCCTCCCTTTCCACCAATGGATAATCAGACTGTTTGGTCTCCGTCATTTTGCTTGTATCCTGAAGTTGGAACTAAGGCGGTACCAGTTTGATTGTTCATTGTCATTTTAATTGCTGATTTACCACATACTTGGCAGTGAAGGAAAAGATCGTGAAGGAACCTGCTTGGCCAAGGAATAAAAATATTTTGAAGTCATGTGAACTCCAACATGCGCTGGAGCAGCACGGGGCACTAATTGCTCCATTAGCCTCTCAGTACCCCGTCACCCTGTCTAACACCTTTCTTTAGTTGCTATTAATGAAGATGAATCTAACAAGACCTCACCTACAGACAGGAAAACATTGAGCAGTCGGTAATTCATACATTGTTTGGATTAAGTGACTTATGAGGGAAAAGTATTGCTTATTCATGGAAATTGGTGTCTTAGTGTAAAATAATTAGTTTACATGACCTTTTTTAAATGTGAAAATGTCTAACAATAATTGTAAGAGGAAATTATTTGATTTTAGCCATTATGCGGCTTACCCCTTTCTCCTTACTTCAGTGCAGTTAAGCTGAGGTGGCTGAGCGACAAAGTTGACATAGTTAATAAGGCAATGAAAAAGGGTACATGTTATTTTGGGACGGTTGATACATGGATCATTTGGAATTTGACAGGTATTACAAAATAGCTTATATTTAATTATTATTTCATGACAGTGTTCGCCGATCCCCAAGAGTTGACAAACGGAAATTTGAGGAAAATTAACAGCTTCTGACAGATGGCAGAATAATCATCTTCTATATGTTTAAAACATTTGACATCCATGCTATTTGTCACAGCTCCTAGCTACTATGCCACAAGTCTTGAATTTGAACCCAAACGGAGCAAACCCTGTTCATAAACTAACCACAAAAAGGTAAAATAGTACATCATGAATTTACATCTTCAGCAAAGATCACCGTACTGTATGGTGTCAATCCATTACAATGTTAAATTCACACACACGTACACACGCACGCGCACTCACACACACACACACAAACAGAGAGAGAGACAAGCATGCACACACGCACAAACTGTTGTAATTTACCACAAAGAAGTTCACAAGTTTTTCATTCATTTGGGATAATGAATTTAATATAGCATAAGGCTCTCTCCATATATTGCGTGACAGTCAGCAAAGAAGTTGCGTTACCTCTTTAATTGGTCCTGTTCATCCAAAATATACACATATTTGATGACGGGCTTAGCGAGTTCATGTTAATGCTTAGAATATTGAGCTAGTAAATTTTTTACATTTTCTGACTCTCCCCACTATCTTCTCTCTCATTAGTTTATCATAGTTGTCGTTTCGTGTGCTTTTGAGGCTTTTAATTCCTCGAAAGCTTGAGGCTGCTGAATTTCCTTGCTTTTTATAATTAGGTTCAAATGAGTTATCATTTTCACTTACTACACCTTTTTACTAAATGGCTAGACAAATGTGACTGATCAAGGAATTTAACATGTTGAAGACACTGTTGCTAATGAACTATGCATTTTCATGTAAGGAGTTTCACGTAAAAATCGGGTACAGTATGTGATGCTTTAAATAAATCTTTTTTTGATAACATGATGTGTGTATAGTGCAGTAATTCAAGATGAAAATTAATTATTAAAATGTTATGATTATGTAGTTTAAAAAAGATTAATGTTTACTATAAACAAGTAACAGACAAAGGTAGCAGATGGTCCGCCTGATGGTAGGTGGATGCTGTGCTCCAAAAACACCAACGTCTAACCTTGATGAATAAAAATGCAAATGCGATATTTTTGGGTTACCCCATTTATCATTCAAAAGTGCTGTGTATATAAGCAAGCTTCTTTTTGTTATATTGATATTCTGTGTGATATGTGGACCTTCCGTGATTGATTTGATGCATTCTTGTGCAACATAATTAAACTGCATTGTTACTCTACCATGCGAAAAGCTGTATTTTGTAAAAATATTCCTGAACCTAAGAAGGGAAGACAGTGTAGATATATTATTATATTCTATACTAGCTGGCTCGCCTGATGTTATTCTGTCTTTTCCGGTAGGTGGTGCAATGAGTTTCGCTCTGAATCCACACGGTACTTTTTACAGTGCAAATATTAAACTGAGTAATAACCAGTAACCGCAGACTATAGATTTTGTGTGTGTGACACTAAACTAACATAATATATTGTGAATATGAGTTATTCTGGTCCATAAATATAACATTTGTCAATAGCTTTACTACAATGAGTGGTTAATTCAATAATAAGAATAATAATAATATTCCACAACTATCACACAACGCCATCTAGTCCCAAGCTAAGCAGAGCTTGTGTTATGGGTACTAGACAACTGATAAACATACTTATATATTTGTAAATACATAAATATTATAGATAAATTACACCCAGACACAGAACAAATGATCGTGCTCATCACACAAACATTTGTCCTGGGTGGGAATCGAACCCACGACCTCCGGCATAGCAGTCAGGATCACTAACCACTAGACCAACAGGCCTGCAAATTCGATTGTAATGAAACTTTCATGAACAGATAGAGACCAGTGCCAGGAGTGATTTAGGCTACATTTTAACCGAAAATCTTGGAGATTTTTTTAGAAATCGTAAAATAAATAAAATAAATGAGCTTTGATGATAACACCACATCAATATATCCTATCAAGCCGAAGCCGGGCAGCTCGATCGTAATATATAAAGATTCCTAACTACCAGGAGATAAAGAGACAAGACTTCCTTGAGTATAAACTATATCAGAGCTCAATTTAAAAAATACATAAAATAGGTAAATAAGACTAGCTAAATCATGGTGTACATTCATTGAAAACTGAAAGTAAATAGTAGCTTGCTTTTCTTTATAACTGTTACTACTATCAAGTCTTTTAGGTTTTAGTTTTAGTTTAAATATTAAGTTAATCGTAAAGAATGTTTAGTTTAAAATTAATGTTAATATACACCTAAGTCAATATCAATGTAATCCATACAAAAAAATTTCATTATTAAATTTACTTTTTACATTGTACTGCAGGGGGGCCCAATGGTGGAAAGCACGTAACAGATGTAACAAATGCATCAAGGACAATGTTGATGAATATTGAAACTTTGAAATGGGATCCTCTATTGCTAAAATTCTTCGAAGTGCCAAAGTTAGTTCTACCAGAAATAAAGTCTAGTTCTGAGGTAAAATATTTATTTTTTTAGGGAAATAATTGTCATTAGGAGTTAATGTTAAAGTTAAAGTTACAGCCTATATACGTTTCACTGCTGAGCACAGGTCTCCTCTCATTTCTGTGACGGTTTTAGGGCAAGAAAATGTCCGCCGCGCTGCCCCAATGCTTGTTGGTGAACTTAGTGACTTTGAAATATTATTATTTTTCTTATTTCTCAAACATGCAGGTTTCCTCACGATGCTTTTCTTCACTAACTAGCACGTGATAAATTAGCACTTAAAATTGCAATTAACAATTTCATAGCTGTCGGCGGGAATCGAACTCTGGTGGCTCGCGTACTGTGAAATTTACATCGAGCGCTTAGGCCCCGAGCTACCGCCGTTCTTTGATGTTAAGGGGCTACTCCATGCGAACGACCTTGAGCATTTGGTGTGCCGCGCCGACTCGCTACAATATAATATCACGTAAGAAATATGTAAGGCGCCACCTACTGTAAGAACGTAGTATTTTTTCAACATCAATAAACTATTTTATGGAAATACACACAGCGTACAACGATAAATGTATCTCAAATTTTTTATTCGGTATATTAGTTGCATTATATTAGAGTTATGTATTCTCATATAATATTATCTAATTATGAAATTTTATAATTAATTATATATTATAAATGAAGCATTGAAAATTGTGAGTTTAAAAGATACCTAATCACTATAGGTAAATAGATAGATAGCTCGCCTTTTGTACAAATATTTGGTGCAATAAAGAATAAATAAATAAATAGGATGTTTCGCAGAGTGAGAGTAATATAGAATGTGAGTCGTGGAGGCAGTTTACAAACATAAATTGCACAAGGACAAACATCCAGACCCGGAACAATTATTTGTAGGCCATACAAATACTTGTTCCGTGCGGGATTCGAACCCGCGGCCCCTAGTGCAGCAACTGATTGCTAAGCCAGTGCGCCACGGAGCCGTCGCCGGTTTATAGCTAAAGTGACCATACGTCCCGTTTTGAACGGGACTGTCCCTTTTCTCAGTCACCTGTCTCATTGTCCCCAAACAAAGCTCCGGGACACAAAATTGTCCCGTAACTCGTTGGATGGGAGTATTCAAAGTCAACAATCTTCAACATAATTTTTTTTAATCGAATATATTTTATGTCTCCCTGGTACAAATGCTCCGGTAGAAAGAATATTTTTTTTATTTTGAACAAATTGTGGACGTCTGAAAGAAACACTTACGGTTCCAGTTCTAAAGGCGATGTTGTTAACAAAGGTAACCATAAAAAAACTTAAGCAGAATTTTATTCTTATTTAAAATTATCACCAACTTTATTAAAGCAAATTTAATCCACTGACAAATGTAATTAATAATTAAAAAAAATATGTTGCATTTAATAATTACCGTCTATACCGAATATAATTTTATATTGAACACTAATTGTGTAAAGTTATAGTTTTTAGAGTGTAAATAAACCCATGTCCTGTTTTGAGTTAAAAAATAAATGGTCACTTTAGTTTTTTTTAGTTAAATTTAGTTTAAAAAAATTTTAGTTTATAGTAAAAAGTAGGTATATTAATACCTACTTAGATACTTTTTACCGAATTAGGGTAGAAGCCCCTAATACCAGTCATGCCCCTAATTGCAGTCTTCGCCTTTTTACTCCATAAATAAGATTTCTAGTAGTCTTAACTACAAATGTTTTCATCTAAAAAACTCTTTGTACCTAGAGGAAACTATATTTATTCAAATATTACCTCGCAGTTTTAAACCTAACAGTGTTAAAATCAAAACAGGTACGCAACGAAAAACGATCATTTTCCTAATTATTTGACAAGTTATGATCCCGGTAAAATTATGCTTACTTTACATTATCTCATATATAGGCTTTTTGATTTGTATGAATATGACTATAGACATAGTAATGCAGTTATTTTTGTTTGAATTTACAACTTATTTATTTTCTTTTAGTGGAAATTAATGAGACTGTAATTAGATAATATAAGAAATGTATGGAGTGCATAATGTCAGCCGCCCGGCTGTTATTTGGTTTGACGTACCTAATAAGAAGTACCTAATTTCAGCCACGTAATATAAATCAGAGCTGCCATAAACTGGAATAAATATCATTAATTAGATCATAACTTATTTTATAGCTAAGGGAGTTATGATCAATTCGTCTGTTTTAAAATTGGTTTTAGATTTTAAAGTTTAGCAAAAGATGTACTAGCTTTTCTCTCTGACATTCGGCGTATAGAACATCTTATGTACTCAATTATTTTTTTTTTTTTGAAAAAGAAGAAAAAACAAGCAATATATAAAAACAAAAACGGGCCAAAAACTCATAACTGACTTTTTGACAAGACCCGGGATTCGAAACCGAGACCTCATGATCAGCACTCGCACTACTACAACCACTAGACCAACAAGGCGGTACTATACCTAATAAGATATTGTGGTTGGGTGATAATATTGAATTAGCCTTTTGTAGTGTAAGTTATAATATTTGTCGAAATTTTAATTATGGATTCGAACCTTACATGCTAATGGTGCTTCATTTTTTTATTTGCATTTACTTCAAAGAAAATACACGCAAAAAGCTTCATCGCGCAGTAAAAAACACAACAAATATATGTATAACTAATACGAAAAATTATACCCAAAACAAACAAATAATACTACCTATAAATAACCTAATAAGTAATATTATTATCGACTAATATGACGTGAGCGTATGTGCTGGTCGACGCTCTAACGACACGGGCTTCGCGTCGAAGAGCTCAGGGCTCACTGACTCAGCAAGCCCGTGAGCAGTGAATATGCCCAGATTTTAAAATAAATTCTTAATAAAATCAAATTTTGGTCTTTTGAAAAAAAATTTTCTATAGAAATATTCATTAATAAATTGCCTATCCATTGGTGTAAATCGCAAAATAAAATAATACTTACTTTACGAGGAGATGCATGTTATCAATAATAATTTCACATTTACGTGGTTTCGTTGTAAGGAGATTATATTAATATTTATTCCTTTAAAAAAAAATTGGATATAGCTTTTATGGAGTCAAGATTATGTAGAAATATAATGTGTTTTTTATTTGTTGATATATCTTTTAAATAAAAAGTAGATAGCTTCTAAAAACAGCACAAATAACGACTAGCGCGACATTTTGCTCAACCTGCGCTTTAATGTCATTTCTTTTAAGGAACTGTAAAAAAGCAACAGTAGGGAACGGTAATTATATTGTTATAAATAAACGTGTAACAACATGTTGCCTAACCTAATATTTAAATGTTTCAATGAGTATATTTAAAAGAAACATCCTGTCGTATTTACTTAAAAATTATGTTTTAACAAGTATGCAGCAAAATAAATAAATAATTAAAAACAATGCTCAACCTGCATTATATATTACTAATTGCTGTTTACAATATTGATAGTACTGTGATCCGTTGCGTGTCACCGTTGCACAATGACACAAATATCCGAATCCCTGTCTGCGAGTTAATTTGTTTTGTATCTCTTATCTTGAATATTGCTCTAGAATTCTCTTACTGGGGTTATAATTTTATTTACATTATATATTTAGCATTTCAGTATACAATATAATATTATATGATCATCAAAGTATTTAAAATTATGCAGAAACTACGAGGTAACTTCTTTTATCTTAATTGGGAGTATGTCTGTGTTATAACATGAAAGTGAAGTACAAGCTACGAAGCATTCCATTTTCGTCTTCAGAGGTGCTAACCCATCTATAGCCTTTATTATTTCTTATTAAAAAAAAAACCTTACCCCCAAACTAGAATTTTCTCGTTTTACATGGGTACATATCCCGACCCGGAACAATTATTTGTCGACCATACAAATACAACATGTTCCATGAGGAATTCGAACTTGCGATCCTGCACCGCCGAAATCAAATGCTTAGCCACTGCGCAACCAATACGTGGACTGTTAACTTATTGTCACGTCAATATTAATTATTTTGGCTAGGCTGCTTACCTATATCGGATATTTTACAGAAAGGAAAAGAATATGATGTAATAAGTGAACCTAGTAGAAAACTTATGGCATAGATATTTCAAATTTAACCTTATTAAAATGACGAAACTTTACGTGTCACAAGTATCAATTAATTCGTAACGCGCTTGACCGGCCCCTAGATAAAAAGTTTACTTCAAATGAGTGGTAGGTATTTATTGATAGAATAGCTTCCGCCCACCGGTTCGCCCGCGTGGTATATTAATAAAAAGTACCGTATGATCTTCTCCAGAATTTAAATTATGTATGTCCATATCAAATTTGATTACAAACGGCTCAGCGGTTTAGCCGTGAAACATAGACACAAACTGATTGATAGATGTAAAGACAGAGTTATTTCGTATTTATTATGTTATAGAATGGTTATTATTATTATTATTATCGCAGAGGAATACTTGATAACAGTTTCACTGGTTGTATGGAAGAGTACTAGTAAACAATCCTAATATCCTATCTTACTTCCCACTACGCACCCGACGCTACATAACTGGTCACGCATGTTAGTGGTGAGATGAAGCTTTTCAAATTCAGTCCACGTGTATGATGTTTACAGAAATGAATTAATTTAGTCTACTGAATTGCCTCGCTCGATGACTGCCAAAGTCTACCTAAAATCTTCTGCCAGTATGAAGTCTGTGTATGTCTTGTAGACAGTGGTCAAGAGCCTCGATAGCGCGTTCATAGTGCATTTTGTCCTATACGATCATGTTGCACTTTTGCAACAACGTGTCGTTACGGGCGTTGCTCTTACTGATACGTGATAACGTGCAATACGTTGGCATTTCTTCCCATGCCAGATTAAGAGGTAATTTAATAAGCATGCCATCGGGGGTTTTACAACAATGTCCCGAAACGTAGTTTGTTCACCACTAACTACTACGCCAGCTATTTCGTTTGGGCCACGTGGTACACGTTCTGGGTGGACAACCACTACCTTGTAATTATTATCATCAGTCATTCCGTCTCTAGCCGTTTTAAATTCATGCATCAAAATGTTGTGATCGTGTAGAATACATAACTTTTGCAAAATGTTTCTTTCTACATATTGCAGCACGCCTATTGACTTCTGCTTCTTCTGCTGACACACGTTGAGACGTTAGATACTCAGCATTCTGTTGACATCGAGCTCAAGATTTCTCATGTCTCTGCAGGCAGTTGAGACACCAAATACTCAGCGTGTTGTTAGCGCCGATCTTGGGACTGTTCTGGTGTCTCTGCAGCACGATGAGACGCTAGATACTCAGCATTTTGTTGACTTTGAGCACGAAACTTCTCATGTCTCTGCAAGCCGTTGAGACACCAAGTACTCAGCGTGTTGTTAGCGCCGATCTTGGGACTGTTCTGGTGTCTCTGCAGCACGATGAGACGCTAGATACTCAGCATTTTGTTGACTTTGAGCACGAAACTTCTCATGTCTCTGCAAGCCGTTGAGACACCAAGTACTCAGCGTGTTGTTAGCGCCGATCTTGGGACTGTTCTGGTGTCTCTGCAGCACGATGAGACGCTAGATACTCATCATTCTGTTGACGTCGAGTACGAGACTTCTGATTTCTCGGCAGCGCGTTGAGACGCTAAATACTCAGCGTGTTGTTAGCGCTGATCTTGAGACTGTTCTGGTGTCTCAGAAGCTCAATGTGCTGCCTCACGTGCGGCTTGTATAAACCTTCGCAGCTCCGCTTGTTGAGACGTCTTGTTATTTCGAGCTATTTTCATAACTCGAGCTTTATTAGAATTTTGTCTAAGAGTCTACTCTTACACAAAGTAAGTAAAAGTCGCCAAAGCGTAAGTAAGTCTACTTACGCTTTGGCGGATTTATGGAAAGTACTGTAGTCAAGAAATCACAAAATTGGTAGTGATTTTGAAACTAATAACTAAAATAATTAGAATATCTAATTAAAAGAAAAACGATTTTATCTTTATTATACTTACGATACGACTTATACCTTCAACTAACAAAAAATCTAATATCTAATTAAAACAAACTTAAGTCTATTTACTTTCTACTTACAAATATAAACGATACCTGCAACTAATCGTTATTCTTAAACTAACAAATAAAATTCTAATATCTAATTAAAACAAACTTTGCGAGACATTGCCTCACCCGTTCCTCCACGCCCCGCTGCGCGCGCCGCCCGAGACTTCAACTCATAGCAGCGTTGCACCGGCGTGCTTTAATATTATAGCACTCCGCTCAAGTCATACACATCGTGATAACTTTTTAAATATTTGTCCAAATTATTCAGTGTAAGGGGACAAAGTGTATCTTCTTTAAATATTAAAAGCGATAAAGGTATTTATTTTGATAACAATTAATTTAGTACTATAAAAATCCATTATAAAAACTATCCAAATTAAATTTATTTATGTCTATTTTGGCTATAATGGCTTCCACGTAAGAGGTAGATATATGCTGTCGCGGACTTTTATTTAGAACTGTTTATGAGAAACAATCCCACACTACCTATATTATTATCATCGTGTAACTCTAATGGTTTAGGCAGCGCATGCCAAAATAGCTCTCAGAGGGCAGGAATATTACCAACTTACTTGATACATATCATTGTAATATGGCCATTGAGCACAATATTTTTACAAACTCTAGTCTATTATGTATGTATGTGGTATTCAGATGTATAATTTATATGACTGTAAAATTTCACCAAAATCCGTTCAGTAATTAATCCGTGAAAGAGTAACAAATAAGAAAGATATCTATCCTCACAAACTTTCGCGTTTATAATATGTACTAGTAGGATCAATTTGATAAATGTGAATATAATAACGTAAAATAAAAAATAAAACATTTATTCAATAGACATTAACTTCGTTCAACTATTTAAGTATGTATGTTATTGTTATAGTTATATGTCATTTTAGTTTTTTTTTTTATATGAGGGTAGTAAAATATAGCATTTTGCTTCTAAAATCACCGGAAATTTTATAGATCAAGTTGTATTTTAATAATAGAGAAGCGACTGTAGTCTACTAAGTAAGGGTGCACAGAACGCGAACTTTTCGAACCCGCCTTTCGACTACTGTCGTGAACCACTCTTAACACAAGCAAGATTAAAAGCTTACCGGTAGTGGTTAAAGGGAATATTAGCAAAAAAAGGGATAGACGTTTACATTAACTATATATACGCTTTTGAGGATTTGTTCAAAGAAGTAATTTTATAGAAGTAAATTTGAGAAATAATTGTTATAAAATAGATAGAAATAGGCGAACTGTTTCTATCTACAAATTTTGATAGGAAAAATAACTCTTACTTTTTATAAACAATGTCAATTAACATAATAAAATTTATAATTACAGAACTTGCCTTGCCTCTATGCCAGGCGTAGGACAGTTGCCTTGAACCACAAAAATTTAATGGATGGTGGCGCCATCCATAACTTGTTTCCAAAAATAATTTGTTTATAGTTGGTCTTATGGCTTCACAGATGTCGCTACTTTGGAAAAATAAAATGAAATTTACTTACAAAATAAAAATAAGTGCACCAAAAAATTATTGGTGATTTTATTGATAAAAAATTATAATTTTAACATAAAAACACGTAATAATTATCGAATCAATCGATAAATATGACAATTATGATACTGGCAACCAGCATTTTATAATAAAAAATAAAAATAAAAAATGAAATAATTGTCATATTAAATTGTCATTCCTGTAACATCGCAAATACCCTTTTTATATATTATTATCTCACAAATACAAGTGTACTTATTGAAACTATTTACCTACTTTTAATATTAGAAGTATAAATTATTTTACAAAAAAAAAGTAAAAATTGTTTCAGTAAGTATGCGAATTAAAGAACATAATAGTTACATTAATATGATGTACATAATATAGCTATATATAGCGAATTAGTTCGGATTCAATTTGTAGGAGACGCTAGTAGTTCAATTTGGTCTGCAATAAAATATCGTCAGAGGGCTCTCTTTTCCTGTATATACTTATTATACTCTTTGCTCTATGCTACCTATCCATCTGTCAGTTCGAATAAAAAATTAAAAGTAGTTTAAAAATATTATCTACAATCTTTGCACACGTGACAGCACAAAGGGCTCACACACTTCTTATCTTTCCAACAAGACTAAATATATTGAAACTATTTTAATTATTTTTCTTCATCAAGCCATAAAAGTCGACTGGCAATGAGCCTCTCCGGTGGTAAAGAGAATTTGCCTTAAGTCACGCTTGGCAGGAACGCAATAACAGACGTGTCGCACATCGCACAGCTTCAAGCTGCTGCCTGGTCTGGGTCTTTTACATCTGGCATATACGAGCATCTGGTATATACGAGATAGTTAAACTGCCATCTGTTGGAAGCCATACTATCTTTCTGACATTTCTTTTAAAGTCGCCTCTTTACTACACGCACCTGTAAAATTTCACATCGTGCAAATTTTTCTTGTGATATTTTTCTTTACTGACGAAGAGACTTGACTTGTACTGTAACTATGAAATATCATTAATTTTAGGCATTTCATAAGTTCTGATTATTTGATATTATTAATATATCTTTCTTATAATTTTCTACAGATTTATGGTTATATCGCATATGAACCACTAAAAGGCATTCCTATATCGGGATGCTTGGGTGATCAGCAAGCCGCTTTAGTTGGCCAAATGTGTATGCAAAAGGGACAAGCCAAGGCCACATATGGGACTGGATGCTTCGTACTCTACAATACGGGCGATATACGCGTGAATTCCAGTCGAGGCTTACTGACGACTGTCGCTTATCAGCTTGGAAACAAAAGTCCACCAGTATATGCCTTGGAAGGCTCGGTAGGTTTTACGCTTGGTAAAGTTACTGTGATATTTAGAAATTATTTTTTTTTTTATTAAAATTTTCGATTGTTTTTATCCACCGCAACTGTTAGTTAAAAATTGGACATCATAAAATAGAGTATCATTAAAAAATTGTATTCTCTTAGCCCATTTCTGTTCAAAATCATTATGGATTATCTCACAAAACAAGAGCCGTGGTAGATTAGCGCTCGCTGTAAATTTTACAGTACGCGAGCAACCCGGGTTCGATCTCCGTTGGCACCAATGAAATTGTTAATTGCTATGTTAATTTTTTTTTTATAGGATGGGGTGACAAACGAGCACACAGTCCACCTGATGGTAAATGGTTACTGTGACCCATAGACATCTACATCTATCATCAATAAAGACTCAAGATGCAGATGCGTTGTCACCCGTGAGGACTAAGATGGAATGCCTCTTTGTCAGTAAAAAGGGTCTCCGGTTCTCTACACTCACCATACGAAACACAGCAGCGTTAAGCTGCTATTTTACGCTGGTTTTCTGTGAGAGCGTGGTCCTTCCCCGGTCGAGCCACCCATTCGTGCTACAACTATACTACTAATATAGCTGCAGCATGGCTCTACCACGTTAAAATGCTGAATAACCACGTGCTCGGCTGCGAAGCAAAACGTCGTGAGGAAAACTGCATGTCTGGAAATTGAAAAAAATCCTCCACTTTACAGACTTAAAAAATCTCCCATAAACATAATTAAATTAGTTATTAATCTTGTAGAATGGCCTATCGTCGCGATAGGGTATTTTGTTATCTTTAACCTAGACTTTCTATCGGGCTAGAGCTTAGTCGGTTTCTTAATCAGTATTAAAAAATATGCAAGTGGGCGTATTATGACGATTTATCGGCCGATAAATCTGTTTGATGGGCTACACGATTCCCTTTAAAGTAAACTGTTGGTCAACTATCGGCCAACTGCTAAATCAGTTTGGCGGTCTTCGACGCGCGCATACACGCGAATTGGCGCGGAAAAGACGTGCGCATGCATCAAAATGGCGCTGCTTGTCAAATCATCTATTTTTTACATTTGATAGAGGAACTTGAAAAACGACCTGCGCTACTCCGATGTAAATTTAAAGAAAAAGCTGGGGGAAGAAGTAATCTGTCACTGCATATAAGATGCACCCAGTATTCTCAGTTTCTTTTCTTGATCCGTCTCCTTCGTTGTATAATAGCAATAATAATAACAGTACTGGACAATATTTTAAGTGTCCTTACGCGACTACTCACTTTGAGAGCTGCTTACTGACTACAATTTTTCGCAAACGATCGGCCAACCGTTAGCTAGTGTGCTCACTCACCCTAACCCGACTGTTTAATTGGCCCAGTGTGCGCACTAGCAGACCAACCCGACTAAACTCTGGCCCTATAGAAAATGTGCGGTGTCTCTTACAGATAGCAGCTGCTATAAAGCATAGTTACAAAGGTTCTGAAGATAATTTGATTGAGTTTTGTAACTTAATAAGAATTGACTTTCTCTAAAGTAGCCCATTGTGAATTTGGTCCTTTTTATTCAACATCGTCCATTTGAGCACCTTTGCAAGAGTAACTTTTTTTTGTTGCTTATGGTATCAGTAACGTTATTAATGGAAGAATATGCTAAAATCACTACAGTTTAACAATTTTATTCCATTAAAATTTTAGTAAGCAAACTTTTATAAATGTGTGATAAATATAGTAAGTCATTAATAACAAATTTTAGGTAGCTGTCGCAGGAGCAGCTTTAAGTTGGCTCAAAGACAACATTGGCCTATTAGAGAGTGCCAGGAGTTCTCAGGAGCTGGCTGAGAAGGCTACAGATAATGGCAGTGTGGTTTTTGTTCCCGCGTTCAGTGGTTTATACGCTCCGTATTGGAGGCAAGATGCAAGAGGGTGAGATTGATTTTGTTTTCCTAAAACGATCTAATGAATCTCTTTATGAAACAAGCTTTAGCGCAGGGATAAATACGATTTGTATATAGAAAATTCATACCTGCTAAATATTAATAAAACGTTATAATTATGTGCTATTATTAAACTACCAATAATTTTATATTTATTATACTACTAGCTAATTATATATCTATTCCGTGAACGTTATTAAAAGTTCACAGCTGAACATTTTTTTTATCGGATAGGGTGGCAAACGGACACACAGTTCACCTGATGGTAAGTGGTTGCTATGGCCCATAGACATCTACATTTATCCTCGTTTGCGAATCAAAATGCAGATGCGTTGTCACCCGTGAGGACTAAGATGGAATGCCTCGTTTCCAGTAAAAAGGGTCTCCGGTTCTCTACACTCACCATACGAAACACAGCAGCGTTAAGATGTTATTTTACGCTGGTATTCTGTGAGAGCGTGGTCGAGCCGACCCATTCGTGCTACAGCTTTACTACTAATATAGCTGCAGCGTGGCTTTACCACGTATAAAACATAGGCCCCTCCCATGCCTAGCTTAGGAGGTGTGTTGGCTACCGCAGTTTTCTCATTTTTTAATTGTTATTAGGAACCACAGGACCCACAGGACGAAATGGGGCAGTGAATATTCTTACACCACCGCGGTCAATATTCACTAAACTGTAAATTCTGTAATAAATCAAGTGCAACAAATAAAACCAGAACACTTCGAATAATAACCGGATAATTTAATCCAATAATTTGTAGTACAAGTCGCGGCGCGTAAGTCAAGCGCTGAACGAAACGTAGAGGGGATAGCTGCGCACGGGTACTGTCGCGCATGCAATACAATTATTACTTTAATTAATTAATAGTATTTAGCTATTAATTAATTTCATATTTCCTGTCTTAAAAACTTCTGCAGTTTGTTTTATTTGGCTTAAATTTACAGTGCTGCTGTCTAAAATACTCGTAGCTTCGCCAATCTCACTTTTGATCATAAACGATTTGATTTTACGAAACCTTCAAATTACAGTGGAAATCTGCATCGATTGTTAAAAAAATACAGCCTATATATTATATACGTACCACTGCTGGGCACAGAGCTCTTCTAATTTCTGAGTAAGTTTTGGAGCTATTACTCCGCTGCGCTCCTCCAGTGTATGTTGGAGAACACAACTCCTTTAAATACTTTTTTCTTGAAACATGTAGGTTTTCGTTCATTCCTCACGATGTTTTCCTTCATCACCAAGTTCGTGTTAAATCAGCACTTAAAATTGTAACTATTTATTTCAAAGAGTCCGGGCGGGAATAGAACCTGGCTTTTTAAAATTGCTCATGTACTGTGAAATTTAAGAGTACGATGAAATGTTAACATGTAGGAAATCATATCAATTTTTTACATTTTTTTCTTATCCTAAAATACAGTAGGTATAGGTATTCATGCCCCACAAACTAGTTAACTCTGCACTATGAATGCTTACAATGTAATAATCTTCTTCATCGTATGCATATTCGGATAATGTATATGGATGGGTAATATAATCATCGCCATTATACTTCGAAAATAATTAACTTTATCACTAGAATCACTCAAATCTTGTATTATTTAGGCATATGGTAATAAAAATAAGCTAAGTATATTTATGTCGAGTTGTTTGGAACCACATTACTGTAATTTAATGCCGTTATGTATTGTAAAACATAATCACTGCACTTCTCATTATAATTATAATTTAAACAATAGTAGTCTGTAATAATGAGTCCTGGTTACTTAAAAATTTAATAAATTAATTTTTTTCCAATTTAATGTGTTTAATTGACATTTTATACATTTTTTTTAATTAAACATATTTTATAATGCAAAAAAGTAATTAGTTGTGTAATAATAAGTCCTAATCACTTGGAAATTGAATAAATGAAATGAAATTAATAAAACAGGTTAAATTGATATGTGACATTACTTGAGAGAGGCCTATGTTCAGCAGTGTACTTGTGAAGGGCTGTAATGATGATGACGATGATGAGGAATAAATCACGAGATAATAAGATCATACTAGCTAACTTACATTTTAAATATTACGTATGAATTATGAACAATATTGTATCTATCTATGTCCGTTGTATACATTCATACCATCCAACCGACGTGCCCCAAACCGGGTTAATTAGAAAGGTAATAATGCGAAGATGGTTTTAGACCACTTAAATAAACAAAATTTAGTTTCTTTTTTCAACAAATAAACAAAATGTATTTCTTTTTTTAGCGCAGTAGCACACGCCGGGTATCCGATAGTTATTATATATTATTTTTGAGCGCCAACATTAATATCTGGTACATGGCAACACTAGTTAACACTAGCGCCCTCTAGTATCGAGTAGCAGAACTAGGAGAGAGATCCTTCTAGAAATTTCCATGGAAGAACTTTCTAGAACTATCGACATCTAGTCTGTCTGTTTCTACAGTAGAAGGTTCTGGAAATTATCTGAGGTCCTATATAAGGCCGGTATAGACCGCAACCCATTCAGTATTGAATTGGCGATACAAGCGAATACTTCGAAGTGATACAACTGCGAACTAAAGTAATCAGTAGTATAATTGTGTTTAGTTATAGGTGTGGTTTAAGTTGTAATTAGTGTTCTGTAATTTAAGTGTTAATTTTGGTAATTCACTCGGCAGGTTTTCATGGTCTCGAACCCCAAGCTCGTAACATTATGTTTATTTTTTTACTTCATTATTGATTTCATTGAATTAGATAAAACGATAACGCTTTGCGTGGTCAAAGTAACAACTGTTGTTTGAAAAGTACAGTAGATGGCGCTATAAAAAGAAAACATTTGGTGGGTTGAATGGTATATTGAAAAATGTTAGCGCGGTTAGGTAGTAATATAGTAATTTATCCTAATGTAATAGTTTTATCGACTTGTTAATTAAAAGTAAAACTTGTAAATTATTATTTTCAGAGTAATTTGTGGCATAACTGAAGACACAAATTCAAATCATATCATTAAAGCAGCACTAGAGGCCGTCTGCTTCCAAGTACGAGACATTTTGGATGCTATGAATGAGGATTGCGGTATTCCATTGCAAGTTCTTAAGGTAAATTGCTTACTTGCTTCCCGGGGATTTGATTTTGACCTCACCTATCGCGTTCACATGATATTAGAACTGATGAATTCTCTAATTCATCATTATCTTGTCAAAATCATATCAGTTTCATTTAATTTTGATGAAAAAAATAAATTTCCAAAATAAATCGATTGCACAACGTATAAAATCTATATAGGCTGTATGGTATTTTATTTGTCCTTTATTTGTTCTTTGTCTGTCAAGGGCTAAAAAATCTAAAGAAGTTATTTATATCGACAAAATCCAGACCCGGAACAATTATTTGTAGGCCATATAAATACTAGTTCCGTACGGGATTCGAACCCGCGGTCCTTAGCGCTGCAACTCATTGAAGTAATTTGTATATTAATTATTAACAAAAGTAAAACATGAAAAATAACAGACTTCCATCAAACACAACATCAAAAACTACTAGAAAAACACGTTTATACATTTGATTAATTTTTAGAAAAAGTGCCTATAAATAAGAATTACTTTTCATCGAAACTGACTGTAATATGATTTGCTATCATCTTTTTTATTCTTCAACTGTTTTCCGTTCTTCGAGATTTCGAACAAAATAAATTCTTCTGGGTGCATCGATTTAAAATGATTTTTCAAAGAACTTGTGGTACGTCCCTTTCGCGAGTAACATATTTTGCACTGGGACTTGTCCCCATCCCTTTCGTCTAATTTAAAATAAGTCCAGATATTACTTTGTATTGGTGGCGATATTTTTATTCACTTTTGTAAATTTATAATTTATACGACTAAATATTTATGGAACACACAATAAACTTAGTCAAACGAGGAAACGAACGTTGTGATTGACACTTCCTAAATTACCTCGATCAAATAAAACTAATGTTGTATTATGTATAAATGTTGGATCTTGTCACCAGTGTCGCGACTTGCTCCACATCTGCATTCGCATCAAAGATCGGCATTGATTTACGCGGATGCAGATGTCTCAATCAATGTGGATGTTCCGCATTTGCGGATGCGGATTCGAATATACGCAACATCGCTACTATGGAGTTAGGAATATCGTGCGATCGCACGCGGAGCACAGTCTCGCTCGCATACGCGATGTTGTGAGCGGACGCGTCACGCAAATTTAATCTAGCAGCACGCTATTCTTCGCGCGCGACCTAGTGTAATGTTAGTCTTTGGTGAGTTAGTCTATACTGTATATAAATAATATGTTAGAAAACTGAATATAAACTAAGTACTTATGATGCGACGTGATTATTTTCGATAATACGCCTATAATATATGTCGGAGTGTCTATAAAATACCCGGTTGGATCGAGGTAGAATGGAGGGTATATCGAGAAACCCCCTCTTGTGTCTGTAGTATAAAGTTCACTGTAGGTGCCGTGCACGAGAGATTCCGCCTAAGTCGTTCAACGAGTGTGGTCATTCTACTAGTGCTAATATAGTGTCGTGGTTCTGTTCGTTGTTGTAATTCTTCTAGTGCAGGCAAGGAGAATTGCTGTTGCTGAGAGGCTGCCCAGTGTTACATTGAGATAAGTAGCGTTGCTGTTGCTGTACATATTTTGGTGTTATCATGTAATTACGTACCCCACGTTACACTGGTGTGTGATTGTGGCTGAGACGTGTTACGGTGTGGTCGAACTGTAATTTCACTATACTGAATGTATAGTGCGTTACGTTGTCTTATTACTGATAATGATTAAACTGCGTAAGCAAGAGAGCAAGTTGAACATCCCCTCTCACACTTTTATTATTTTTAACAATTAACGCTATCCTGATGTATCTCAGAGATCAAAATTGCGATCCTCTATTGTAATCTCCGACATCAGAAGTGGGATAAAGTCCCTGTTACTGCCCATCTATAAACTTTGAATAGTGTGAGGGTTATTAAGTTAGTGAAATACTATGATACGCCTCGCGTTTTGTTTTTGTGTTTAATTTCTTAAATAAAGTTTGTTGTCGTATTTACAACACTGACGAAATCATTAAAGTGTAGAGTGAAAGTTTACAGTGAAATGTTTTAAGCCAAAAGTTAAATCATTTTGTTAGATTTATAATAAAAAGTACCCACAAGTACTTTCATTATTTCTTAACGTACCCAAAATGGAGGTATTCTAAATGAGCTATAGTTTGCATTCAGTGGAAGTTTAACTTGCTCAAGTTGTGCTATAATTTGATACACGAGGTGTGATTTACATGGGCTAATTTTAAAGTTTAAAATGTTTAAACGATGTATCGAAAAAAATGTTTAACTTTAACGTGCTATGAATTAAAAACACTAAGTAGTATTTTTATGTTCTAATGTGTTGATACTCCGAGTGTTACGTAGTCGACAAAATTGTGATTTGATGTTGAGAGTTTAATGGAAGGTGTGGTGCTGTGGCGCTCGCTTTTGAGTGGAAGTATGTCTATCAACTTAGGACGCCGCGGACACATTATTTGCCGCTGCTACCGATAACCATTAGATACATGAGGAAAGTAAATTTATTCCTAACATTGTCTTAAAAATATTTTGTAAGAATAAGTGTTTAAATTTTTAATTGGTTGCGAAAAATGCCGGAAAACCAAAGTATAACTGATGAAAGTGAAGTAGAGCAAATTAGTTCTGACATTGAAGAGAGTATTTGAGTTTACATGAGGATCGGACCATACCAGAGGTTGTCGTGTAGCCGCAGCCCAGTATTTGGTGCCCTAGAAAGGCGAATGGTGTCCCGAGAGTAGTGCTGCATTTTAAAAAAACAGTTCTTACTGAATCTTTTTAATGTTTTCTTTTGTGTTACAGTAGTACATGTGATGTGATTACATGTGCGCGAACATGAGGCGATGGTGTGCCTTGCTGGTTGGAACGGACTGCCGGGTCCAGATGTAACATGGCCTGGCTTCGGCACACGCGTATGCTGTACGCGTGACGGGTGATTTCCCGGAGCGCGTGTATGCTGTACATGGCGATGCCTCTGAAGTCGTGTACTCCGTATGCGCTGGAGTCGTACACTGTGTGCGCAGAAGCAGTGTTTTCTGAACATGTATCAGGCTCTGTCCTGGCAGGCGCTGTCCTGGTTCACGTGTTTTACGTGGGAACTCGCAAGTTAAAATACGAGTGTGTGAGTTACATCGTATGGAGATGTATCCATACTTGTGAAAGCAAAGTGCTTTATTATAATCTGCGATATGAGAGCGTATTTCTGTTAGAGGGCCTCGTATGCGTGATGGATGAGAGGATAGGCAACTGTGTATATTGTCTTGATAATAAACAACTTGTTTTCCACGTAGGTCACAATGACTACAATCCCGACGATGTCTGTGAACCCTCAGGTGCTCCTGCTGCTCCCGTTGATGCTTCGAGTGCGTGGTGCGGCGCAGCGCCTCGCTGGCGCTGGTGCGGCGTGACGGGTCACTCTGCGAGTGCGGCACGCCCTGTGCTGTTGTTTTGACCACGTGAGCTTGCTTCATGGCAGCTAACTATGGCGTGTGCTGGTTTGTTTTAATAGACACGTGCGCTTGCCTTAAGCCTGCCGCAACTGCGAGCAGTGAGTGACGTATTAACGTTTGCTGTGTCAGCAATCCCAGCGGTGTGCTGATGATAATACTGGTGAGTCGTACACATTTTATTATGATTCTGGTGCCGAAAGAGAGAGCCTCATCAAAGATTGTGTTGCGCCAAAGTTTCGTGGCAAAAGTGTAAATAATATTGTAAATTCAACCGGAAGTCATGTTAGTGTGCAAAGTACCCCACAAATACCCCCCATGATTATGTGAGGAAGATCCCCGATCACCAAGTGCCTCGAGAGTTAGATGTCATACTTGATGACAGTGGTAGTGAGACCAAATTTGATTAAGAATGTCTTGTATACTCATACTCAAAACTTTAGACCGCACCTCATGAGTAACATGTGGCGATGGGTCTGTAGAGAATCGTTGGTGCGATTCTTGCTCTGTGTTGGTGCACAGAGCTCCTCATGTGTTGTAGCATATTTGGCGGCAGATATGTAGAGAATCGTTGGTGCGATTCTGGCATATGTGGCGGCAGATGTGTTGTAGCATATTTGGCGGTGGATATGTGGAGAATCGTTGGTGCGATTCTGGCATATGTAACGGCAGATATGTAAAGAATCGTTGGTGCGATTCTGACCTGTGTTGGTGCACAGAGCCCCTTGTGTATTGTAGCATATATGACGGCAGATATGTGGAGAATCGTTGGTGCGATTCTGGCATATGTGACGGCGGATATGCAAAGAATCGATGGTGCGATTCTGGTCTGTGTTGGTGCACAGATTTCAATAAAAGTTTCACGAGTTGAATATGCATTGCTTATGAATTGTAAAGAGTAAAAAATTGTTAAAATTACTGTGTTGGAACTTGTTGATCGGACCTTCCACAATAAATCATGTTGTGCAGGAAGCACTGTGTAAGAAGCCTTAATAACAGGGCATTGTCAATTATGACAGTTGACTATTGTACTTAGACTTAGGAGAAGTAAAGTACCATTTCGAATCGACCTTGTTTCTATTGGCAGGATAGCCGAGCTAGATTACTCTGAGCATATTTTTGTCCACAGACACTGCAACCGAAAACGGGTGCTAGTCAGGAATGGCCGTGTCATGAATTGATGGCGCCATAGTGCAACAAGCAGCGCCATCTAACAATTAGTTTTCCGAACTAATAATATGTACCCACTCATGTCAGGATGGACGAGCGGACGAATTGTTGTTTGTTACAGGAATGCATAAAAATACACGACCGAGGACGGTCGTACGTCAGGACGGCCGTGTCGGAGTGTCTATAAAATACCCGGTTGGATCGAGGTAGAATGGAGGGTATATCGAGAAACCCCCTCTTGTGTCTGTAGTATAAAGTTCACTGTAGGTGCCGTGCACGAGAGATTCCGCCTAAGTCGTTCAACGAGTGTGGTCATTCTACTAGTGCTAATATAGTGTCGTGGTTCTGTTCGTTGTTGTAATTCTTCTAGTGCAGGCAAGGAGAATTGCTGTTGCTGAG